TTCTTTAATGCAACAATGAAGTCATTCACGGATTCACCTTGCTTTTGATTACGTGTGCCAAAGTGAAAACTTTCGGCAATCTCGAGTGGACGCGGGTTGTAGTGTTTTTCCAGACATTCGATTATTTCGGTCAGTGGAATTTCCTTCGGTTTCTTGGGCGCCACAAGATTGCTTAGTGTAGAATAAACTTCTGGCCTAACTTCTGTGAGAAAAATTGCCCTTTGTCTTTCTTTGACCAGTTCGTTGGCCGCCTCTTGACGTTCGCCCGCTCCTTCGACGATACCGTTTGCAGTGAAAAACATCTCAAATCTTTCAACATAGGCGCTGAACGTCTCTTTGTCGGGACTAAACTCCCCGACTTTACCTAAAGGTGCACTAGCAGCCATCCTCGTCGCCAGAAATGTTGTATTTTAGCTAAGAAAACCACAACAACCACATGGTGTGTTCTCTCTCCTTTTATTCACAATGCATCATGGGTATGATGACGTATGAATATATTACATAAGGTGCATTTCAAAATGGGTTAGAGGAGTGATCAAAAGAGTGTGTGTCTGAAACAAATTGGAAATAGAGATTTCATCGAGTGCTCCTCATCCTGGTACCTCAAATACAACAGAACAATCATTCGAGACAGATTTTTCGATAATTTTTTGGTTGCGCTTTAAATATTCACTACTTCACCCGTATAGTAGGATGTGGCAGAAGGGCACGGGTGCTTCCTTCCTTGCCTTGTAAAGACTGCGAAGACATATGCGTTCGCCGATGGTACAAACACTAAGTCGAGCTAACTCGCTGTCTGAAGCTGAAATTACGGTGTCAACTTCCACTTTCTCATCATTAAATCTGTCAACTAGAGTTCCCAAATTCAGTTCTCGAGGTATGTCATCCATAAATTTAATAGATGAAAATGACCTGTAAGGTTACGGTTTGTACCATAGTAAGTAGAGGAGACGGGAGGCGGGAAGAAATTGCTCTTGGCGCGTTATCGGTCTGTACGTCATGTATCGTACATGTTCACTGACCGTAGCCGCGCGGTGACCACGTGATCAATCTCAACGGTGGGCTCTGGGGACCAGTCTCACGAATACGATGCGAGCATGAGCTTTGGAGTAGTTTAGATGACCAGATGTACTGGCTCGGCGACCACCATGTTGCAAAGGCACCAAATATAATGCATATGAACCGAATCGCTGAGCACCGAGTAGCAAGTTGTTTGCACGGAGTAACAAGATGTTCGCAGCAAACCAGATGCTAAACTGACCGCAAATCAGGTGCAAACTGACTATGGAAAAAGCACAGAGCATGACAAACTAGCCACCGAATATAAAGAAAGCTGCACCGCTAAAATTGATCTAAGCACCGAGTATAAAGCGGTTAGCAGTGAGTATAATGGCTTTAACACCAGGTATAATGTGGAAAGTACCGAGCACCTTGAATAAAGAGCCGAGTATAAGGTGACTGGCACCGATTATAGCAACCAGAGCACCGAACATCATGATAAAAGCACCGAAGATGATAAGAAAAGTACCACGGATAAGAAAAAAAATATCATGAGACAGTTATGGCGTTCCATAAGACTGAGCAATTAAATAAACTTAGTTTTCAATTTCAAAGTGTTATGTCAGTTGTAGTATCATTAATGTGTCTAAGCTACTTCTTGACTTAAGTCTGAATTATTGCAAAACATCGCCATAATATTCTACTTTCCCACAGAACTCT